AAGTCAATCGAGCAACAGCCTTTTTAGATGCTGAAGCTTTGGTCTCTTATAGTTTGTTTTTTAGAGCAGCTGTTCGTGTTGGAAATTTTAGAGCATATGTTATTGTCGGGTTTTTTTTTTCCTTGAATAGGCCTTCATTTGAAAGATCATATTCTTGCAAAAAGTCTAACTGTAGACGATGGTTACATAAGAGTTGGAGTTCATATTCTATTGCATTTTAGTTTCTGTATCATGTCTCTGTGTGTATACTGTTCTGTACTCTGTTCATTTTGGAATTGTGCAAATATATGAACTGAATTTTTGGCTCATTTAGTTGGTGTGCAAATATATGAACTGAATTGTGCAAAAGTATGTGTGAAACCTGTTTCTTGACCAATAAGCTATTTCTTGAACAAAAAACAATTTCTTGAACCAAAGCAAGTTTCTTGAATAAAAAACGAGAGTTTCTTGAACAAAAAATGAGTTTCTGATCTCAAATCATTGCACAACACCAACACAACAAGATATAACAACAGGGTCATCATCCTCTTTTTTTTTTTTCCAAACGTATAAATTTTATAACCACCTCAAAACAATGTACAAACCCAATCAAAGATTGGACTCATAACAGACCCACCACAAAATACAATACAAAAGCTTAGGGGGGATTACCATTACCAGCAATCCCTATTCAACACACAAACAGCAAAAAAGACTAAACAATACATAAAAAAAGGCGCCCAAAAAGCTACCAAGCTACAATTATAACTAATTAATTACAAACCAGAAGAACAAAAATCATGAACTAAGACTTCCATTCTTCCATTTCCAACTGAAGTAGTGACAGCTACCAGCACTGGCACAAAGCTTTGCCTTACCTTTGCAGTCATTCTCCTTAAGCTTATCCAAATACTCCTCTGCTCCTTCCTCCCTTTCATTAACAGTGGTATATTCTATCCAATACTTTATTGCCCCATCTGCTACCTTCTTTTCATCAAGCCATATTCTTTGAAAGACCCAATTGTTTCGTGTACACCACAGCCACCATAACAAGTAAGTAGTCAGCTCAATTCTCTCTTCTCTACAATTTCCTCTATCCATCAACATCAGAGCAGCCCACCATTTCCTAAAGTCATCTTCTTTATCTTGCAAACCGTCCCAACAAAGGCCAGAAATTTTCCAAATTCTCTTAGTAACAGGGTCGTCATCCTCATTCATACATTTCTTCGAGCATGTAAAGGGCCTACTAATTAAAAAAACAAATACAAAAATGTATTCAATTAAATCAACCGCAACCTCACATTAAATATTTATTTGCTCGCCATATTATTTTGCATAACCAGAGGAAGGAATCGCAGCACATCAATTTTCGAAGACATATAGCAATACAGAATGCGATTGTCATTCGAAAAATTTACCTCAATTTTTAGTTTTTTAACACGCTCAAATAAAAATCACAAAACATTAATGGAAAAGTAGATTCGATATTTCATCAAATCGACGGGATAACCTGAATTCAGAAATTAATAACCTGAATTCAATAATGGAAAAGAACATGCGGACATTTGAATTCATAAATTAATAACCTGAACATTATATGAAGATGAACTCATCATAAATTCTGATTTCACGATTCCGACTGAAGCATTCAAAGTTTTTTTTCTCAACGACGGGGAAGAAAGATGATCGATTTTTTAGTTCAAGATAGAATGCAATTTATTTTCAATTCGTGGCCTAATTGAAATATGTAAATGTAATTAGGGTAGAATAAAAATAAAGTAATAGTTAAACACCCTAGTTTAAAATATTTTTTAATTAAGGGTACTTAAGTACTTACACTAGCTTCTTTTTTTATTATTTTCGTCATTAATTAATTAAGAGGACATGTGGCAGGATTTTAAAGGGGAACCTAATGTTAGGTAGGTACGAAGCTGGTACGAGGCGAATCTGATAATAGAATGCCCCTACTGAGAATACGTTTTCAATTGTAAAACGTATTCTCAGAATACGTTTCCAAAGGAAAACGTATTATCATGTCACGTTTTATAACGAAATAAATTTTTAAACATGATTAACTTAATTAAATCGCGATTAAGAAAATTAATATAAAATAAAACGTACTTTCATAATACGTTTTATAATAAATGTATTTTCAAAAAACGCTTTAAATTCAAAAACGTATTTTTAATATACGTTTTTTTTTAATAAATTTTATATACTATAAATTAAAAAAAAATTAGTAAAATTTATGAATTTTTTTTTAATTGAAAACGTATTTTCAGAGTACGGTTTCCTCCCAAAAACCATATTATGACAATACGTTTTCAGTTAAAAAAAATAAAAAATACTCCTAGACTCACACGACATAACCACACGGGTCGTGTAACGTCACACGACCCGTGTCACATGACACACGACCCGTGTGAAAAAGTCGTAGCTAAAAAAATCATTCTCTTGAAGCCACACGACTCGTGTCACCTACTCACACGAGTCGTGTGACCCATCTGCAGCTCGATTTTGTCATTTTTCGGTCCTTTAACACTTTTCTATGCATATTCCAAACAACCAACAATTTTACTGTACAGAAACAACAATTTTACAACAGAAATAAAATAGAACACCTGTTTGTCGAAATCAATTCCACAACCAAATATTCAACAACCAAATATTCAACCAAAATATATCAATTCCACAAATAAAATTGAAGCACAATAATTTATTCAAAATACCAATACGTTTTAATTTAATTACACAAAAAGTCAAGAAAAAAAAATGTCCATAAATTTCCTAATAGTTGCTAGGAGTGAATTGATCCGGAGGTCTGCGCTCCCGGGAGCCCTTCTGATGCTGGTACGTCTGTAAAGAAGATGAGGCTGTGGCAGCTTCTTCTGTATCTCTGGGCGTGGCAGCTTCTTCTGTATTCGAATAAATGATGTTTTAAGAAAAATCGAAAATTCTACTTTACAATAAATAAATAAATAAATAATTTAAAAATCATATTGTAGTTAAGTAAAAAAATCTGACCTTCTTCTGCTTGTTCCTCAGGCACGGTATTGGGAGGCACGGTGTCGGCAGGCACGGTGTTGGCATCGTGGTCGCGGACACGGCGTCTTCTACGCCCGCCAATATCGGCAGCAGGTCGATGCCTCGCCCGGTGCGACTGCGTCGGTTGGGGCTGGACATAGCTCTCTTGAGATAGAACTTAACTCGACGACGTCCCTTGCGTGACCCCTTGTCCTCCGACAGCCAGTCCACTTTGGA